TTTTTTTTTTTTTTTTTTTTTTTTTTTTTTAAATTTTTTTTTCAACGTTTATTTATTTTTGGGACAGAGAGAGACAGAGCATGAACGGGGGAGGGGCAGAGAGAGAGGGAGACACAGAATCGGAAACAGGCTCCAGGCTCTGAGCCATCAGCCCAGAGCCTGACGCGGGGCTCGAACTCACGGACCGCGAGATCGTGACCTGGCTGAAGTCGGACGCTTAACCGACTGCGCCACCCAGGCGCCCCCAGGAGGTACTTTTCTTATTCATAATGAAATAAGAGAAATAGGCATATAGGGCTTATTTTTGTGTACTTTTAAAACCATTTTTACAGTTGCACATCACATTCAGAAATGTTGAACAAATAGCACAGGCACGTGTCACTGCATCCCCGGTGGCCTGATGGTGAAGTTCCCAGCCTTCTTTTCCTGGGTTTGGGAGGAGTAATCAGGACACAATGGATTTGTGTGCTGAGGAAAACACTCCGCAGCCTGCATCTAGCCACTTGACTGCTCAAGGGCTCTGGCCGGAGCCGCCCCAGGAAGTTCTCTGTGTGACTCAGACCAGAGTGGCTGTCCTCCTGGCTCTGAATGTTAAGGTGGAGGGAGAGTTCAAGAGCAGGGTCAGGAAGTGGTAGATGGAGCCAGCTCGAGGTATTCCTGTGGACTTGGGAGATTTATACTCAGGCTGTCCATTGTTAGGGGGATAAAAACGGGCTCCGCCTTTCTTAGAATCATGGTCAGTGTTTGTCAAACAGGAGTGTTTCAGTGAGCCATGGACCACACACCTTAAAAAACAAACTGCACTTTATTAAACCCATGTGTTTGTGAATAGACAAAGCTAGATTCATACAACCACCCACATATTCTGTCAAATGAAACTGCTCCAAAGACCAAGCAGACAGCTTTCCGTAATAATATGCCTTTGTATACTGGCTTGTGCTTTTTCAAAGAACTTGTACATGTTTTGTTTTATTGGAGCCCCTCTTATGAGAGAAGTCGGGAAAATAGACATCATTCCCATTTACCAAATGAGAAAACAGGAGCAAGATGAACCCTTCTCTGTCAACTATTTTGTTCCTGAAAGTCACCATTAGTGATAGTGGCTGTACGCACACATTTAAAACAGTATAATTATCCTAAGCCCAGGTGTTATTTGGTTTCCTTTTTCAGATGCGCAGGGAGAAAGGTGGACTAAGATTTTAAATGGAACTGTTCTGTTCTGTTTCATACAAACTTGCCTCCCTCTCTGGATCCTGGCAGGAGGGAGAAGAACACGTGATGGACTTTGGGGTGAAGGTTGACTCTTCATGTAATGTGGCGGTGAGGGGATGGGGACTGTGGTCAGTCAGAGACCATGAGATGCAGACATGTATGATGCAATCCAGAAGCACTGAACAAGGAGTTCTCTCTGTTTTGAAGGCCAGCGGTGTCTCCACCCTCTTTCAGTGTATTAGTTGTCTTCCTGAGTGGGCAGTGAGCATTAGCACAGAGGCGTGGAGAGTGGACCAAACCTCACCGGCATTCTGTGTGTTGGCAGTGAGTCCCAGGGAGCACGTAGTGTCACTTCATGCCCAAGGTGTGCCGGGCACTGCTCTATCAAGGTATTCAAAGAGCACAGAGGCCGAGAGAGTGAGCTCTCAGCTCAGACAGATACGGAGCTGGCAAACCAGATCCACTGCTCTGTGCAGTGACTCAGCCTTTCCAGCCTCTGTTTTCTCTTCCTCAACGCATGGTTGCTGTTGGGCATTGGTGAGATAATTTAGGCGAGGAGGCCTCTCTGGTATCTAGCAAGACTCCAGTACGCAGAGGCCACAGGCCCTGCAAGGCAAGGACTCCCCACTCCACAGGAGCCAGAGGCCCAGAGGGCTGGTGACTTGCCCGACTCCACAGCTAACAAGTGGGAAGACTAAAATTCGAGTCCTTGGGCTTGACTGCCTCACTGTCACCATTGCATCATATTCCCACGTTTCCTTCGGATCTGGAAACCCAAATAATTCTGTCTTGAGGTGATTAGCTCCGGTCTCCTATTCCTCGCCTACACCTTTCCCCCATCCTACTTAAACTCTTGCCAGCTTTCTCGCATCATCCCACTGAAGGGGGTTGGCACGGGGACCTCCGTGGGGCAAAAGTGTCTCTCCCAGAGCCAGTCCTTCTTTTAGAGAAAATAAAGCAGTTTGAGAAAAGTAACAAAGGCAGCATTTGTGTATTTTGCTTTATGGAGCTGAAAATATCTGGTAAATTGATCCAGTGGGAGTAATAAATACACATTACTTTATCTTGTTCTTCATGTCCTATACCCCTGAGCCTTGATAGAACAACACCACTTAATAGACTTAAAAAAGAGTAATTACCCTCATTGGTTGTGTGATTTTTCAGCCCTCCCAGCCCTGCCTGACCTTCTAATTTAGCTCACCGTGTCTAACTAATGCATTTATATTCATCTTTTATGAAGCATGTATAGTACAGAATTGACTTTAGAGCTTTTTTCAAGCTGTCCTCCCAGGTCTCCAATCTGGTTGGTAGTAAGGAGAGTGGGAACCATCCATCTCTATACTGTTCACATGTATAGATAACGCATACACAGGGCTCATGGCATTCTTTTATTTTTTATGAAACATAATAAAAAGTATTTATTACATTTTTACTTTAAAGCTTTTATACCTTCTAGCATTATTTACAGCTAAACATGCAGGCAAAAGATGCGAGTGTTTTTAAAAT